AATTGTAACGTTTATGTACGTTCTGTACTAATTTCTCAAACTCTCAAGAGAAATAAAAGCTATCTGTAACTTTGCTTCTTTAAAAGCACAAGTTGAAGGTACAGACTGGGATATCAATGTTCTGCCCACGGCGAGAATCGAAAACCCGATGTTTAGTGCAAAAAGCCCTCGTTCTTACCGCTGAGCCATTGAGTTTAAAAGGATAATAAAAGAAAGTATTCGGTTTTGAGTCATGTTAACATTTTTGTCTCTCTTGTCTTATCTTTGATTATCATTTTAATTTTCTGAAAATATTGATCTATTGTTTCTGTCATTAAATAGATTCACATCAAACTTGATATAAAGAACACTTTACTTCAGTAACAAACATCATTTGTCAGATATTTTATTGATAACTCCATCTGTCTATTTTATTATTATTATTATAAATTACATAATATCATTTGGGACTATAAATACTTAACAAGCCACTGTAATGGCTCACCGTTAACCCAATGGCTTATAACGCTAAAATTTGGGTTCAATTCCTCACAGTGACATACCACAGATAGCCGATTGTTCTACTTAGTATTTAAGAATAAATAAAACCAAATAATTAACATCACTTAATCCTTGTTATCAATATAAAATAATATTCCCTATTTTCGTTATTATTCCAGAATGGTACGTATACTTAGCATTAAATATATGTTTTCTCCTCGTTTACAAAAATCAAAGTTGGAGGACCATATTTCTAGTCTAGAAATCATTATTACAACGGCTTAACACTATCTTGATTAAAAACTAGGTACAGTAAAAGACAAATCAAAACTGATCGCGTTATGTTTGTAAAATCCGATGTGGGTAATAATATTTTCATTTAGAGTCTATAATGCAGCTTTTCCAAATATATCAATATTTTATATAATTACAATTACGAAATGTAATTCAGACATACCTTTAAATACCAAGGTAAAATAGAAAATTAATTTACTACAATTAAAAGTCGCATTACTAAAGATATTTTATAATAATTTGTTGTCATTTAACATCCATTCTATCACATAATAAGTAACTTTTAAGGTTCTCTATATATCCTAAAATGTTTAAATGTTTTTGCTCATAGATGTGAAAAAATGACGTACTTTTAACACATAAGAAATATTACAGTGAGTTATATTCATTGTTCACAAAAAACATGCGCAATATCTTTCGAAGCATTCCACATTACTGACGTAATCTAAACCATTTGTCAGGGGAAATAACTTTCAATTACAAAATTTAAAAGATTTCCTACTAATAAACTTTGGAGAAGTGAGATATTGTTCTCTGTAGTTTTGTTTCAAACATCTCCTTTCTAATGTTTATAAACTAGAAGAATTTCCTCCATTAATCTGAGTTTCAAAATCCAAGATAAACATTAGTTCATCAGTTTAGACAGCAGACTTATACTAACTGGAAAGAGTCCTGCTGACCACTAAATCTCTTGCTAGACGGTTTAAACTACTAAGACAAGAAGATACGTAAACAATAAAATGCAGCTTAATTTATAAATGTTTATCCTGGTATAAAGTCTGTTACAATAAACATTAACACTAACAAGAACGTGGGCACAAAGTAGACCGAGAGAGAAAGCGAGTTGTATAAATATAGGTGGTGCTCTCGTAAGTCAGATCATCTACTACACACACATCGAGTATACACAAGCAACTCTGTAAGATCTGACGTTCTTGGTGTGTGGTTGAACACATTAGCTGAAGAAAATTTATTGATAGAAATAACTTTTGAAAAAATCCATTTTATTCTTTATCATTGGTCCACGATGTGGAAAGAACTTATAACGTTTACAACATCTTCACATCCCATGAAAACCTTTATTCTTCTGTTGATGATATGGGAAGTCACGGGTAAGAAACAAAAACATGTTTTACAATTGTTTTTATTTTCTTATACATTTTTCATCAAAATAATTTCCTAATAAAATATTCTAAATTACACTATACGATTTACAAGATAGTAAATCTAATTTCCAAAATGCTCAAAACGTATGTTCAAGAGGGCTCTACCTTTTATACTCTATATGATATTCAGAGTTCTTTATCTAAGGTTAACATGATTGAATTATAGATTTTCTCACGCAGGTTTCTTGGATTTTGACGAAGACAAACGCCAAGTCGTAATTCCTTATCCTCGTGTTGGACGATCTTTCTGGAACTGGTCGGAAGACAAACGTCAAGGTTTGATTCCCTTTCCTCGAATTGGACGAACTTCCCGGAACATGACAGAAGACAAACAAAGAGTTCTGGTTCCGTTTCCTCAAGTGGATCACTCTGAAGAGAAAGATTTGCAACTAGCTCTTATTCCACGTCAAGTTATTCCTTCACCACGATTCGGTCGATCATTTACTTCTGGTATTGGACGCCACGTTTTGGTTTGGCCCGACTCATTGCTTGTTCAGCAGGATGGAGACAAACGATCATTCTTTACTCCACGCATCAGTAGAATTCTGTTCATACCCCGACTTGATAAAACAGACAGCGACAGTGACAGTAATATACTATACACAGGGTATTAAATAATAATTATTACAATAAGACACGAAGTTCAAACGACCTCGTTAACGATGAATAGCCATCTGAGGCTTGAAATATGTACTTACCTTTTATAAATATGCTCCAAAAATATACCATATTGAAAATACTTAAGTTAGTTATTGTGTGTAAATGTATAATATTGTGTTGCTCTAATAAATGAACTGCAAGTTATTTAGGGTTATTCTATTCTTTATTTATTCTATTACTTATATTCTACTATGCACACAAATTTACATAGGTAACCAGATCAGTTAGCTATTAAAAATCTCTGATATCTTATTCGATGAGATGTTATTCTAACCTTAACAGGGAAATCAACAGAGTATGTCAGTCTCTACAAAACTGTCATTTTAAAAATGATTTTGGTGGAACTAATTTTTATCTCCTTTTAATTATACACAGTTAGAAGAATTAGACGCCTAAAGCACAGAAAAATACATAAATAATAAACTGTTTTACAATTTGGTATATCATGGTATGAAATCTGTTCCAATGAACATCTGCATGTAAATTCCTAACTACTCAATACGTAAGAATAAGGAGCTTATATCTAATGATTTATATAAATATATATATATATATTATATTCATAATTGTTTAGCTTATGTTATGATGAAGAGAAAAATATTTGATTTCTTTATAATGATAAGTACAATCGAATTATACTTTCTTATGTCCAGGCTACATTCAGTATGAGGAAGACCAACACCAGGTCGTAATTCTCTATATTTCTATTAGACGATCTTCCTGGAGCTGGTCAGAAGACCAATGTTTTTAATTTCCGTTTTCTCCAATGGGTCGGTTTGAAGGGAGACAACAGGTGCTAGTTCTTATTCCACGTGTTAAACTTACTCACGTTGATCTTCATGGGGATTATATGGATAAAAACAATTTGATTCTTAGCAGTTATCTACTGTTTATAAAAACTGTATTCGCCGATAGAATAGGTTGGAAAAAAATCTCTATTATCATCTGATTGTGAAAAGCAAAATACAAATAATAAAGTCCAGAACCAGGCATATAGTTCATTCGCAGAAGACTTTAACAAGGAATTACACCAGTTATTATTACACCTCGATAGGTCGAACATAAACTCCAAGTGACGGTCGTCAACTTATGTTTGGTCCGATAACCTGCTTAATTAACCAAAAGGAAAAACTTTACTCCACTCAAGTTGGATGTTAATGAATAAGAACTGAATATCAAAGCCACAACGAATTGGTCTGCATTAGGAAACTTAAATATATCTTAAGCAAAGGAAAAAGGATATTTCATAGTACATTCGTTCATAGTTAGTGAGCTTAATGAAGGTACAAGATATTTAGTACGTTTGTAGGCGTAGGAGCCAAGAGTAGATAGAATAGATCGATAAGCCAAACATAAAACCAGGGTGGAAACTGTAGGATAAAGTTCTGCAAAAGTGGTGTCAGAGATGAGTTTACAATATTTAGAATATCTTAAAGTCCGTTGAAACTTTTCCACACGCTTGAGAGTAAGTTTAAGCCAATCATTATCAAGAGCTTTAAATTTTGTTCTGTCATTTAAAATATCTTCCATTTTGGAGACATAATTTAAAATGACGACACCTGTACCCCTTTATCTTCCCGGATAACAACAACGTTTCGGTTATTGGCAAGTTCTTTTAAGGCAGAAAACTCAGCCTGTTTAATAGAAGAAGGTTTGTTTATGGGGTTAAAGATATAGAAGGAGTACAATGACGCATTTTAAGATTTAGTTTGAATAGTTTTCAGGTTCAGATTTTCAATCAGAATGGTGAGATGATGAAAGTCGATCCACGAAATTTTCTTCTTAAGTTCAAGACTGGCTAAAGTATGTTGGTTAGTTAGCTGTTTTGTTTTTTTTTCGTATATAATGTCCCAATCCTTTATAATATTCTAATCTGGTAGTAATGTCTCTATCAGTTATGCTATTTTATACTTCGTGGTTTTTACATATGGTTAAAAACTGAATATCAGTCAGAAATTTTGGAAACTTCGTGGTTTTTACATGTGGTTAAAAACTGAATATCAATCGAGACCTTCCGAAGTTTGAGATCAAGCTTTTCAAAAGTACGAAACAAACGTAACACATCATATCTAATCCACCATGTCAGAGTCAGAGTATTTGCAACTGATTTGTCAGGTGGAAAATGAAGTTTTATAATAAATATTCAAAACACGGTAATACCAAAAAACATCTTAAATACGGATGTTTCTGAATTTTCTTAAATTCCATCATCAGCATTAATATTTCAAAAAAAAGTTATTTCACAATATTCGAACTACAAAACCCGACATTAGCATTGAGAGAGTTTTCGTATTCAATCGGAAGGTTATAAAGAACAGATTTAAACGGTAACAGTATAATGGATTGTACGATAAAACGTGCGGTGCGGTATACACGTGTTTAATAAATAACATTGTTAAGAGAAACTATTACATAGAAAGGCTTAAATATAAGTATAAACACTGTATCTTTAAATTAATAATAAATATCAAATAAAAACACTGCGAATCAGGAATTGATTATGTTGATAAGAACAGAGAGGAGTTTATGTTATTATTTAGTGTTAGGTAGAGTTCGTAATCTACGGTTTCAAAAACGAGAATAGTAAAGTTTTCTAGAAGTATGGGGGTGGTGGTTGTTATTGTCACTAATCAATAGAATACAAGACTCGGGTGGATTAGGTAGCTTATATCAGTTTCTTCCTACGTTTAGTATTTACGTAATCATTTAGAATTTATAATCTGTTTAAAACCAAAGACACTCTACCCATTCCTATGCGCTCGTGGTCGTACATATTGGTGAAATTACACATCACCTACATGGCGTGCACACGAGCACATGGGAATTTCAACTAGAAGCAGATATAAGCTGTGTAACATACCCGAGTCTTGTGTCCAATTGTTCGATTGTACAGTGAGAATAACAACCACCCCATACTTCTAGAAAACTTTAAAATTCTTGACTCCGGAACTATAGATTACG